CTAGAGCTTAGCCAATGACATTTGTGCGTGTGTTTGTGTGCTCTAATAGCTTTTCATACAGTGCTTAGCATTGAACAAACTTGTACACCTGTACACCAGTTTTTTAATAGTCTTTAATTTGAATTAAGAACAACTAACTATGAAAAGCTGAAGATTAAATACTCTTTCACGTCTTTTACATTTAATTGGTGTGCACAGATAGCGCAAGTTCATTTCTTTATTTTATAATCGAGAAATATCTTTCTGCCTTCCAGACAACTCGTTGCTCGTTGTTGCTCTCCCCACATAAACACAAAAGATTTCGAATATATTGAAGCTGCTTATTTCAGATCTTAAATCTGTGCTCGTGCTTATTGTAGCCTGCACACGCTGATAATTTCGACTCATTAACGATATTATTTATGGCAATTATAATATTTTTTATTTTAATTTGATTTTGTATTTTGAATATTGCTGTTGATTATATTAATAAAAATATTCAAATTGTAAATATAATTTCGGGCAATGTTAGATGAACTGAGTTTAAATGAGTTACTGTTGTACTCCTCCATTGACTGAGTATGAAATTGTGGAAAGTCTACAGAAAAAATAAATATATTTTCCACAGTCTGAGAGTCAGATTTATGTATATATTCATGTAGACTTTGTAGACCATATATGTTGTCTTACGTCTTATTGGCATATAAATGAGTATAAGGACTAATATGTTTATACTTATCAAAGTTAATATGGATAATCTTTGTAATCTTATGAGAGATTGGAATTGGATTGAATTTATGTTATTTCAGTTCCTTAGTCCACTCTTAGTTTTCTGTAAGACAATGCACAAACCTCTCAGAAATGAATTGATGATTGAAGAAACTCAATCTTTAAACTTAAATTATGCTCTACGTTTTGGGAAATAAATTTTGCCAGCAGCTATCAAATTGATATTAAATAATATTTGTATTTATTATTATACAAATACCTCTCTGTTTATTTTGACATCCATAACTCTCTGAATTAAGTTTGGCTCAGTGATTCGATATGCGTGAGATTTGTCATCAGTTAATCACGAAATGTGATACCAGCGAAAGTTTTAAAATTTTCTTGGCATCAAATCTACATAGAAATGAGACGAATGCCAATTCAAAATTATATTTTCACGTTACATAAAAGCGCGAGCGAATTTTGATGAGAGGGCAATACGGCGAGTACATATATATACATGCATATATGTATATATATATATATATACATATATATAATAAATGTTCATTGCTGATGTCTTCATTTTGGTTACACATGAAAATTTGCGCGTCAAATCAGATAGAGGTTTTCATTATTCGTAACTCCAAACTTAAAAGCCAAAACCAAAACCGAAACACATGTTATAAAAAGAAATCTATTTTGCAATTATAAATAGTTACAGATAGCAACAAATGTGTGTGCTTTAATTCGTTTTGGGTTTCCTTATTTGGCCATTAAAACCGTTTAGCTAATTGCTTTTGTAATGGAGCTAAATGCTTTGGATCTCATTGCGTCAATACAGTTTGGTTTGTGGGCTGCTGGCTAAGTAAATCAAAATAATCTTGGCCTGATATAAATGCAATCGAAACTCATTTATACATATATATACTACATAAATATGTTATACATATGACCAAAATAAAAATTGATAAAAGTTAATTGAGCATATGGCCAAGCGAATGTGCCTAAATGTATGTATAGCAGCTGCTGTTAATCTGTGTGTGTGTGTGTGCGTGTGTGTGTGTGTTTGTGGTGTTGTCAAGGCGGTTAAGCGACATGCCACCAAAAATGATTGACAATCACTTTATAAACAATTTCATTTGTGGTCCGTGTCGTGGAGACTGCTCGACCACAAGCGAGCCACCCAAAGCACATTCGCATTTGCTGCCGTTGCCGTTGCTGTTGCTGTTGCTTCCCCATTCAAGTCGTTGGCAGCAGCAACCAGTTGCATATGAAAGTAAAAGTAAAGCAACGCAGTCGAAAACAAACGCATGGCTCAGACTTGTATGTAATACGCCTATATAAGCAGACACACACACACAGACACTCACACACATACGCAGACAGTCAGACAGAGCGTGCATTTCAATGCAAGCCAGCAGGCAGACAGATAAATATGTATGTATGTGTGTATATATGAGCATGCTACTCCATATACTCGTATATATATATAAAACAAACAAAAGCGACGCCGAGCGACACCGGTTGATGCTGCAGACAATATACATATATATATACATATGTGTATATATGTATATATACCTACTTCCATTTAGTTGTATATAAAATGCGTTCAAAAAGACCGCTGCGCTTGTTGGCCAGAAAGCGCAGACGCTGATAAAAACTGAAAGCCCAGCCGAAATACATATATAAGTCATATATTCGGGATCGAAATGCTCATGAGCGGAATGATATTCAAAGAGATGACATCATAGGAACACACTAACCACGTTCTACATATAAGCCTGAGAAACGGCATTTCTTTGAATAAGCGTAAGAGAATGCCGAATGACTCAAAGCATGTCATGTGAAAACATCATCTACCACATATGATATTGTCCTTGCCCTAAAAATAGAGGTGTGCGACTTCGAGTGGATTTTGTGTTTTGTTTAAAGTTTGGCAAACCAACCTCAAACGGATTGAAACAGAAAACAGTTCGTTGCCTAAGTCATTCGTTTGAGCAAGCTCTATGCAAAAAGGTGCATATTTAACTCTGATAAACTATTTTACTATTTTACTCATTTATCTTGCTGTGCGTCCTTCTGCATGTTGCGCATAGGCAAGGAAATTGAAGATATTTACCTTAAATTTTGGAATATATATACAAATATTTATGTATGCCCTATGTGCGCCCTGGCCGAATTAAATTTTAACATATTTTTAGATACACTCTTTGGTGCGTGTTAAATCGGAAATCACTTTAACTTGTAGACATTATATTTACAAATGGTACTATTTTTGGTGCCATTGATAATTGGGAACTAATATTTTAAATATATTTTTGTATGCCAATTAAATGTGTCAAGGGAAAACTACTTATAATGGACACACATGATGAACCGCATGTTTTACACATTTATAATACAACTATTTATTTAATTTTTTTTTTTGTTTTTTTTTGTATTTATTTATGACTGTTTTAATAATGTGATGTACTAAAAACATTTATATTTTATAGATACATATATGTTTTCTTCCCTTTGATAAAATTTATCGGATCGTGTTCCTATGGGCGTATTATCATCTATTCACGTGACATTTGTAGATAGTTCAAGTCTAACAATAAAGTGATTAACTTAAAATGGGAACGTTCACTAAATACGAAGTATTTTCGCTTAGAATTATCTGCAAGAAATCTCAAAGATTGGCATTTGTTGCTTATTCATCAAGTGACTCTTAGCTATGAGGTCTCAAAACACAATGAAAACAATGAATGGGTTGGCACAAATTAGATTCAACTAAACAATAACCTGTATAGTATAAATGTATTTTATCTTTGCTTAAAAAAGAATGTTGTCGTAGGCCAGTTTTAAGTGCCAGACTGAGACTCTCAGTATACATGTAATGTTAATTAAATATGTACGCTTTACTTCTATTATTTTAATTACAGAGCTTTTCGTTTTTCCATTAGACATATAAGAAATTCTTTTTCATAGATTTGTGTCACATAAATTTTAATGAAAATCATTTTTTAGCTGTGAGTCAGAGGGCTGCCAAAACTTATCGTTGCAGCTTAGAGTTAAGTTATTTTTTCTTATTATTTTTGTTGTTCACATTAGCCATGTTCAGCTGGCTGCCTGTTTGGTTGCCCCATTCAAATATAAAAACAAAAAAATGAGTGCATAACTAAAGTTGCAACGTTGCCGTTTATTGTTGTTTTTCTTTGCAGCAGCCCCAGCAGCAGCAGCAACAGCAGTTCAATGTCTGGCAGATAAGCAACAACGGCAGCAGCAGCAGCAGCAAAAACAACGACAGCCCACAGTGTGACTAACAATGGAAATTGTAGCACAGTGCCATTGTGGTGTACACTTGGCCAAAGTTTGTGCAATAGCATTAGCGCATTTTGGAATTTTTGCATTTAAAATTACAACCGCAGCAACTCAAACAACTCAAACAACTCGAACAACTCGAACAACAACAGCAATTGTAACACCAACAGACAGCTCTGCACATTTCCATGAAATTTGTGGGCAAGGTTCGCCTTTGGGCTTATGCCTTTTGACGTCTTTGGGCTTTGATGCCGCATTGAGTCACATTTCTTTGACTGATCAGAATTGTGAGCAGCCACTGATGTGTGCGGACGGTTTCTGGGCGCGTCTTCGTTAGCATTGATGGCATTTCAAAAATTGCATATTCAGGTATTTTTCTCGATTGAGGCGCAGCGTGGCATTGGCATCATAAAATCGACGAATCTCTGCTTTAACTGTCTACCTGTGTTTATCCAGACGCTTGAGCTGAATTATCCGGAATTTTATAAGCCGCCTTTAGAGCTCTTTCAGCTGAGAGCGGTGGGCGTAATCGCAGTACTAAGTGTCAGTTGGCCTGCTCATTGAGACATTGAGCCACGCACTGAGACAGAGAGTTGATTTGGTCGGTTCAAAGAAGTTCGTTGAGTTTACCTTGTCAAATTGCTGTAGTTGCAGCCTTCCTTTAATGAATTTTAAAACCCAACGACTTTTTGTCAGCAACTACACACCCACATCTACCACGCACTCGCACACACACAACGACAGACACCGCCTAGACACACCTGAGGCATGCGAGAGCGCAACTTCGGTTTCGATTATGTCAAGCAGCGCTCTCTCACCTGTTGCTCAGCTGTTGCTGCCAGACAAACTCAACTCAACACAGCGCCGCAACCGAAATCGAAAGAGCAACTCAAACCAGTTGGCCATTGCTGCCTGTCTCCTGAATACCGACGACGACGACGTGGCCGGCGCCGTGGTGAATTGAAATCACGAAATATCGCCAAGCTGCTCTGAACCTAGTTCAGAGACCGAGGCGCGCTCAGTTGGTGGAAGTGCTTCAGCCGGAGCGGTTGCTAGACGAACCAAACGCAGACGTGTTTTAGCTATTCTATAGAAACGTGGCCCGTGCGCTTGGCCACCTTTAAAGAAATACCTTGGCGCATCGGGTTAGTGCAAGCGTTTAAGTGTGTGCTCGTGTGTTTGTGTGTGCTTGCTTTTGTGTGTGTATTGGTTATATGTAAAGCACGGCTTTCATCTTGGCCAGACGCTCAGACAAGCAACGAAATCAAGTGAAACATTCAACTAAAAAGTCTGGAAACAGAAAAAAAAAAAAATTCCATTCAAAATACCAAAAACCGTATGAAAAGAAATTAAATTAAATAAAACAAAACAAACAAGTTTCTCTGCTGTCTCGCTCGCTCGTATAACTCTATTGTTGTTTTCTTGTGTATTTTGTTTGCGTTTAGCTATAAAAGGAGTGAGAGTGAAATGTGAAATGTCAAACTAAATAGCCGGGCACAGCCACTTTTACAATGACATCATTCGAAAATTAGCCGAAATGTGATTTAATTTAAATAAAAACATAATCAGCCCGGCAGTGAGAACTATGACGAGCGATGCATTGTTATAGCTGCCGTTAGCTAATTAACGTTAATCTAATATGCAGCCAAAAACTTGGTCAAATGCACAATGGCAACAGTAATAGCAACAGCAGCAGCAGCAGCAGCATCGATAGCATTTGTGGTTTTCTAGTTAGTCGCAGTCGGCCAAAGTTGCGGCAAATAATGCCACAAAGCCGCTTCGAGTTGCTGTTGCAGTTGCAGTTGTTGTTGGTGTTGGCGTTTGGAGCAGCTCGCGGAACCGGTTCAAATATACAATTTTTTTGGATCTCAAATGCAGCTTGTTGTTGCTGTTGCTGTTGCATTATTGCGAATTGCATGCTCATTGGATTTTCTTGAATATTTTTCTTAGTTAGCGTAGCTTTCGTGTAGGACAGAGCTTAGAAAGGCAAGAACTAGAGGCAGGCGCTTCATATATATGTATATACACATTAATATATAGAAACTGTAGACATAATTGCCCAGTTAAAAAGAGTTGCCAAAAAATGTTACAAGAACAAACGACTTGGGCAACGAAACTGACGTTAAACAACCGACGAAATCAATCATCAACTGTGACTGTTCTTTCGTGTTTATATATATATATATATATATATATATATATATATATATATATATATATATATATATATATATATAAACAACGGACATGTATATATATATATATATATATATATATATATACAATCTGTCAGACTAAGCAGCTGAATTTGTTAGTATAACAAATGACTTAGACAACGAACTTGACTACCAACTTGACTACAATTAACTGACGCAATTAATCAAAGACGGCTAAAATTCGTATATATGTATATCAAACACAGTAAAGACATCTAGAAATTGCAGACATATACAACAAGCTGAAAAGACTCGATAAAGATCTACAATAATTTAAATATAAAAAAAGACTTAGGCAACGAACTTAGCGACTGACGAAGTCAATCACAGAGAGAGGACAACATTCAAAAGCAAATACACATTTGAAAGCTATTTGAAAATATCATTATCATATGTTTGGCAAAAAATATAAATGTTACAACAGAAAAAATAAAACACAAAAAAACAACAAGTCCCCCAAAAATGATTTAACCTAACTTTCAAAGGAAATGGCTCCATTTCGGTTTACCACATAAACGAAAAAACCGTTACAAAGGTGAAAAAATCACACAATTCGAAATAAAAGACCAAATGCCAAACACAAAACGTGCAGAAAATTAACGACATTAAACAAAGCTGTGCATTAGCAAAATATTAAAAAAAAAATCCGAAATCAGATATAATTTCATAAACTGAAAGTGTTGTTAGATAATATTTTAATAATTTATTGTTATATTATTTACCATTTTTATTATTTTTCAACTAGTTGAATTATTTCCAAATTAACAAGTGTAAGGTGTCAACAAAAAAAAAAACTAAACTGATTGAAAGCAAAATTATATCGAGTATATTAAATATATATACACAAACATAAATCTACGATGCAAGCGTGTAGAAAAAAAAGAGCTCCGGGCGGCGGCACGGCATCAATTTTGTGGAGCAAATTCTTGGTGTTCAGCCTCTGCGGATTATTTTTACTTGGCATTCAAATTGAGCGTGCGGCGTCTGCGCCTGCAGGCGAGGATGATGCTGCAGCCATGCCCACAACCCTGATGCCACCACTGGATATAAGCACTGAAGTTGATTCAACAACAGCAACAACAACCACTACAACAACAACAACAGTAGCTGCAGCAACAACAGTTGGCGTAGAACAAAGTAGCGAGTCCATTGCGACTGCGACTGCGACTTCGACTTCGACCATGTTGGATAGTTCAACGACTTTGGGAGCCAACAAATTGAACGCGAGCGAAGCTGGTGAGTTACACAAGACCCAAAGCGAACGAAAATTATAGATAACATTGTGACGTCGTCCAGGCGCGTCTCAAAAGCTTTGCCAGACACTTTAGTCTCACTGTTCTCGAGTCTGATGATCCCCGACCCGTAATCAAATTTCATTCTTTGAGCTACCAATTAACGTCGCTCCACTCATCGTCGTCGTCTCCACCCATTTACGTATCGATCCGTCAAACATGTTTCCATAATTGCTCCCCTTTTCGCTTAAATGGAGCTTGGTAAAAGAAATTTGGCTTTACGTCATTTTCTTTAGATTAATCATAAACAGAATTTGTTTTTTCTTTGAATTTCCTGTTGAGTTATTTCGTTAATTATGCGGCGCCTCAAAGTGTAAGAAATAAGAAAAAAAAAAAAAAACGAAATAAATGGAAACTTTTCTTTCAACTGTTGCGGAAATAATTTTGGTGGATTGCAAGTGTAGTGAAGCATTAAATAAATAACTGGCATAACAAATGAAGATATTCAAAGGTAAAACTCTAACTTAGTTAGCGACACGAACTAACGACTAAAGTAGGTCAAAAAGTTGACTTTCGACTGAATTAATGCTAGCACGAGTTAATAGAAATTCGTATACAGATTTGGTCTAATTCCATTATTTGGATGAACTTCGTTTCTGTTTTAGGATAAGTGAAAGGTTTCTACTCCGTTCACTAATCGAAACTTCAACTCTTAAAATTGGGTTAGCGGTTTAATTAGGTTTGCTCTGTGCTCTTTCCACGATAAAGCAACATCTTCTTCATCTTACAATTTGTTTGCCTGCGTTTTAATGTCAGTTGCACATCAAACGTGTCACGTTGTGAGCGATTTACATCAAACTCCACAGCTTCTTTGATCTGCCTCTGTCTGTCTCTCTCTCTCTCTCTCACTCTTTCTGATGATATGATAAAATAGTCTGTGGGGCCGACTGTTTTAGAGCTAATAAAAGACTTCAGCAGCAAACTTTGTTTCAGACAATCATGGATGCCATTTTAATTATATTGGCTGATATAAACTATTGAGTCATGTCCTTCACCTACGTGATAGTGGCACCTCTTTAGTGTGTGTCATAAATGTTTGTCAAAGTAATTTGTTATGCAATTCCGCTTTGGGCAATGCCAATTAAGACAACACGTAGGAAATTAGCGTAAATCATAAATCATAATTCATCTAGATGCCAAAACACCCCCGCAACTTGAAGCAACTGTTGTGAAGACGCTGTGCACCTCAGCCCACATGTTTGGTATTAATTATCGAATCAAGCAAAAGACAATATCTTACCAAAGATCTGATGATGGTGAGTTGGCCATCTTTGACTGATGCTTGGGCAATTCCATAAATTATATATTATAATTATATATTTTCATTAACTGTCTGTATAGGAAATATTCCGATAGAGAGAAAGAGAGATAAAGAGAAAGAGAGACAGTTAGACAGAGAGAAAGAGAGATAGAGAAAATAATGAGATAGAGAGAGAAAGAAAGATAGAAATATGAAAAGCTAAGCTAGCGACAAAAACAACAGAGAAGAGAGAGATCGTTAGGCAGTGATATATAAATTCGTCTTAACGATATTGCCCAACAATCTCATTTGTGAATTGCTGTAAATCAGTAAAGAAAATATAATATATTAAATAAAATGTTTGACATGTCTATCTGATTACTAGCAAGTAATCCGTAAATGATATAATTGTTTTAGAGCCAGTTGTTAACTAGTTTCGCCTTCCAACCTTAATACCTTAATCGTAATTAATGAAATTGTCAATCGGAAAAGCTTTATATAAGTACAAAGGTTTCGCCTGAAAAGGAAAGTCAACTTTTATACATTGCTGTAATTGGCTGTGCGAACTAAGCTTATCTCTTGAACAGTACTATTTCTCTGATTATAAATTTATATTCCCCGCAATATACTCATTTTTATATATATTTATAAACTTAAATTATTTGTTAAATTTTCCAAAGTTTTCTTTTTAAATTACAAAGTTTGTTAGAAGCATAATTTTGTATATGTAATATCTCCATATCGTCACTTAATTGTGGTTTCTGAGACCTAATTGGACTTTGACAAACTGGCTGCATAGACTTAGCTATTAAGACCTGTTCGTATTGCTGTCAAGAAACAACAACAACAACAAAAAACTGTGAAATATTTTTGAGCAAAGCCAAGTGCATATAAATTGCAGTTCGCTAATGAGTTGGAAAATTGCAGAGCACGGCTAACCGTGGACTGCATAAATCAGTTGTGTATGTATATTGTTTGTGGTTTGGCTCAGCAGCAGACAAAATTAGGCGCTAATTGATGGCCTTGCATTGCTGAAAAAAAAGCAATAAAATCATATTAGCCTCAAATGCAATTCAGGGCCTGCATTCGTTATGGCTTGCCAAAAACGTTCAAGAGATACAACTATATTTATATATAGGTCTGAAGGTCTCATTACACAATAATAAACATCACGAAATATTTAAGTCAATATACAATAAACAAAGCTAAAGCCTGTCTTTAGACTTTGCGACCTCGATGAGGCTCATTACATTTTATTTTGGTTACTTTCTTCAAGGGAAAACTACATGGTAAATCGAAAAAAAAAATATATATATTTATATATATATATATATATATATATATATATATTTAAATTGGGGAATGAGTTGTTATTATCGTGATTGTTGATTACTTTTGATTTTTGCTATGATTATCAATCAACGCACTTTGTAATTTGCATACTTGTAGCACGATCTCGTGCTGCTTGAACGGAAATTGAATTTTGAATTTTGAACTTTGTAGGTTCAATAACAAAACTGTATATTGGATATATGTATATTTTCAATGGCTATTCGGCTACAGATACAAATCTTCCTACACTCAGCAGATTCATCTGCCAGTCGTACTCAATTTTCGCACAATTTATCAGGTTTGTTGCCTAAGTCTTTTGTTTGAGTCTCCGTGTGAGCAGCTCTTTCGTTGCGGTCTTTCATATTTATTTGTTATTTTTTCTGCTGCTCGTCAAGAGATTCTGCAGAAGGACCGTAGACAAACAAGTTTGTGCCCTAAGTTATTTGATATTGCTCATTTCCAAGGATAAATATATAAAAATGTGCCGTGTGAGAAATATGCCAAAAATGAAAAGTATTTTTCACAAAGGTGCGGCCTGTGCGTCTATATGTGGTTTTTAGTATTGTTGTTATTGGTTTAGTTGGGCTTACCTTTCGCTTGGGGTTCATGCACGATTAGCTGGCAAAATTTTGCGTCCGTTATAATGAACCGATAAGTAAAAGTAGCTTACGACTTTTTAACAAAAATAGCTAAAAATTGGTTACGAGTGTGGGACAACAACAGCAAATTGTTGTTAATTGTAGCTTGTTTGTTGTTGCTGTTGTTGCTGTTATAACTCCCCTGTACATTGACACTTGTTCGAGCGCAACCAGCCTGCGGCTGAATTTTGAATGCGTGAAAGTGTTGTCAGTGCCTTGACTGCAGTTAACAATTAACATTTCGCCCATAAATATGACTGCATGGATTTTCGAACTCAAGTGTCAAATGAAAAGAAAATAACATATCACATAAAGCTGTGGGCTTTGAACTTTACACCAGGTTTTTCCTGACTTTCTCCGCGCACGAATTTATTGCCAGCATCGTATGCTAGAACAACAGGTTATCTCTTCTCTGCGTTGCATCTGCCGTGAAACGCAGCCTAAATGCCATGTGAAAATCTGGATAGTTGAGCTACAGCCTCTGGTATTTGTGTCAGGGACACAGATTGAACAGGTTGGCTAGTTTTTACATTAGTTTATTGCATCCATTTGATATTGTATGCATGCCACAGATATGCGTTTTTCTGCTTCTTCTTCGTCTTCTAATTTTCCATTAGGTAATTTTTGTTTAATGTGAGCTGAGAAAAATGTAGCGCAAAAAGTCGACTCTAATTAATGCATTTTAATTGTGGGCTGTATGTACGTGAGCGAGAGAGAGAGAGAGAGAGAGTGAGAGAGAGTGTGCGTGTGTGTGTGTAGAGTATTACTGGGGTGTTTATGCAATTAACTATGTCATTGAACGGTGCACCGAGTGTTTTTCAGGAAGTGAATAGTTAGGCAGGTAGCGAAAGAGGGAACAGAACGAGAGCCAAAGAATGAATGAATTGCCATTGGAGCTAGAAGTAAAGAGTGTGGAATGAAAGAGGAACAAATACAATCGAAACTAAACGGTAAATTTTAATGAATATTTATAACAGAGTATGCTTTAAGCTGTTATAATATATGCATATACTTGTACGTACATATATGCAATTACATTTTTAATTATATTTAAAGAGTATTTTCATTTTATTTTATGGTAAGGCAACACTCTGTGTTTATATAAGGCCTTAGTCTATTAAATTTAGCTTGACTACCTTTTGGCTGGCTGTGTGCCATTCAAGTGACCTTCAAATGCAAACGCACTTGGCACAGTGTCTACCACAGCACAGTGCCTCTCACAAGCACACGAGCCTGAGTGTGTATGGAAACACAGTTGCGGCTCCAATTCGAAATCCAATTGCAAGTCGACTTCATGGCCGGCGAAGTGACTCGTGGAGCATTCACTTAGCTGTTGGGGCAACTGAAAAGCGTGGTGTCATTACATTGAGATACTAATAACGAGATATACATATGTATGTATATCAATAAATGTCGTTGATATACAGATACATTTCCAACAACTCTGGCTATCAATTGTACAAAGCTAAGTGGCTTTTGTGTAGAGTCATATGTATGTAATTTTTAGCCGGGGTCTTTGTCTTGGCCTCTCCATGGACGATGACACGCGCTGAAACGTGTTTCTCTTCTTACTTGCCTAAGAGCATTAGATGCGCTCGCTCCCCCGCAGCCTCCGCCGCCCTCTGTCCGAATTCCAAGCCAAGCTGCATTTTTCATTAGCTGGCTCGGGCACATGAACTTTCGAGCTGAGCAGTTGAAAAGGTCAAATGCCGCTTTACACGATGCCTTTTATAG